CGTTCGTCATAAGAGCGAGAATGCAGCCCCCAGTCGAACAGGAGTACTCGGGTTACATGATCGATCAAGACCACCTGGTGGGCATGCGGGTGCGTAACATGTTCTCATTGTTAGTCTGCATCCTGCTGAACACTGGCATGCTCGCAGTCGGGGGATCATCCTGGTACTGTAGCTCTGGACGTCTACACCTTCTGAGGAATTTGTGCACTCGCATGCATGGGCCATGTATACATCTGCTATCATTGCCGATATGATGTTTTTGTTGCAGTTGAAAAGTGCCTTGCCAACAACATACATCCCCTCGGCCGTCGACGCTCTCGATCTCTCTTTCTATCGCTAGGGCCTAGTAGTCCGCCAGTGGGTGCCAAAACCTAACCCTATGACGTATGACGTCAATGGGGTATATGATCAAACTATGGCCAAGTACTTGACACTCGCAGGTGCCACAACCTGCTTCAAGACCACCACCACCTCATATTCCAACTAGTTCGTTACAATATGCAAGACACGCTCATCACGATACCCGATGTATCTGCTCATCACATTCTCGGAAGTACCAATGTTACTCTAGGCGCGGGCGACCTCAATATCGTTCCCGCGGAAAACGCCCTCACGTTGACCGTCGGGAGCGCTGCATTTGTTCTGGAGAAGGAGATGGAGTTCGGAACCCTTGAAGACGATCCGTGCGCATACGTGTTCAAGCCGGAGATCGAAGGAGTCAGCGGCGGGTGAGCAGGCTGCCATGAACAGTGATGGCATAATTGTCTCTTTTGCTAACCGTAACATATCAGATACGTGAAACTCAGCCTGCCTGGGGGTGTGAAAGAGGATGGTTCACGGCTGTCGGAGTTGCAGACGAAGTTCGAGGAGATATTGGTTGAGCGCGGTCTTTTACAACCCTCCGGGGAGTCTAGCGCGCGGAGTCGTATCAAAGCTGCCATCGCTTCGTAGGGTCTCTTTTGTACGTGAACGTTGCCACCTCGCTTATGAGTCAACTATTACGATGCAGCCAGACGGCCGAATCCCTTGTATCCATTCCAGGGGTCGTCGTCGCACAAATTCTCGGAGAAGAAACAACTGTTCTGTCTCAAGGAAGATTGTCCCTCGATGTAATTCCACAACCTGCAGCAGGCGATGCTGCGCAGCCACTATTGACTCTGACCGTCGGACACGCCACTTTCCCTCTGTACAAGACCACCGTTTTCGGTACCCTCGCAGATGACTCGCGCACGTATCTATTCCAGCCTGAAGTCCAGGGTGTAGACAAGGGGTGAGTCCTTCGGGGCCGACGGCTCCTTTGATATCCGCGAACGCAGCTGATTGAGGATTATATGTAGCTTCGTCGGCATTGTACTGCCAGACGCCGTAGAACAACCGGGCACCGATCTCGCAGAGCTACAGAACAACTTTGAATTGATTCTGACCGAGTACGGCCTCCTGAAGGATGGATTCGAGGCCGCGGCAGACGAAGTGAGCCGGAGTATTCGAGAAGACTCGGCACGCACTGCGCAACGCATTCGCGAAGCCAAAGACTTGTGAGTCAATGTCAATCACGCTGAACCGGAACAATCTCACACGTCTCTGGCGCTATAGCTACCTGAAGACGCACCCGCGAATTGTCGATCCAGTGCAGGTTTCGAGTGCGGCTCGCAACCTCACGGGTAGCGGTGTCTCAGGGACACAGTCACTCGCCAACGCCGCGCACTGGGTTTCTGGCGCCGTCACTTCCGCCGCCGCCTCCGCGGGCGGCTGGATCGCGAGCACCTTCGTACCTACAGAGCCCGGTGCCACAGAAAAGCTCAACTCTGCCGCACGCGGCGTCTCGTCTGTGGTCTCCGGCGCCGTAGAAGGCACGAAGGAGGTCAAGGATACGCTCAAGGACGCAGCGGGCTCCGTCGTGGAGAACGACTATGGGGAGGAGGTGCGTGAGGTGTCGGGGAATGTAGGTCAGAGTGTCGGGAACGTGGGCGCGGTGGCGGGAGATGTGGCGACAGTGACAAGCGGAGCTGCGTTGGCCGTTGCTGGGCTGCAGGGTGCGGCGGGGCGGCAGAACGAAGAGCAGAGGTCTGCCGCACGGCACGACAGAGTGGCGGAAGAGTGAGTTTGGTAGTATTGTAACGAACGGGGTGCTCGGACTAGTAGGTTTATACGAAGGACTCCCTACATTGTAATTGTATCATGGCTTGGCACGATACTCACTAGGCAAGATGCCCTCACTTCGACGTTTGGCGCTTCCTGAAGAGAACACGAGCGTCGGGAGCAGGGATGACGGTTGGGCCCCAATGCACGTTCGCCGGCCGTTTACCATCTCCCTCTAGCTTCATGTCGAAGTTAAGCACCATGTACGCGAGCATCGCCTTGAGTTCGTTCGCCGCGAAGAAGCGGCCGGGGCTGAGCAAGAAGCAAATAGTAGGTCTGAATATCGGTATCCGGCGGAGTGTTAGATCATGGAAATACGAAAGCTCACCAGGCGTGCTTCCCATGACCGAAAGGGACATAGTCAACGGACGTAGTCACATATTGGTGCCTCATAGCCTCGCCTTCGCGCTCCCGCTGCCGCGAGAACCGCCAAGGGTCGAAGGTATCCGGATTCGCATAGACGCTATCGTCGTGGTGGAGAGAGTGGGCCGCGGTGACCATGAGCGTGCCGCGAGGGATGAATGTCCCGTCACTGAGCACGATGTCCTTTTGTGCCTTGCGCATGAGGGAGACTAGAGAGGACATAGAGAAATGTTAGGCACGCCATCGTAGCGGAGTAGAATGGGGCCTACCTAGGTTTATGCCGTTCACTCGCTGGGACTCCCTTAGGAAGCTATCAAGCTTCCACATGCGAGATATCGCGTTCTTCGTCCAGCCTTCTTCCTGGACGATCGGCTCGACCTCCTCTCGCAGAGGTACAAGGTATTCTGGACGTTCGGCCAAGTGGTAGATCGCATGCGTGATGCTCTGTCCTCCGGTCAGTCCAAGACAGCTATCGTGAGTTTATAGATGTATGTGACGAACGTTCGACGATGTATGGATTGCGGCGAAGTTCACGAGGAGGACGCGCTGAATCATCTCCTTGTCAGTGTTGTTTCTGGAGAGTCCTTCGTCCATAATCCACTGTATCATATCGTTCTGTTAAACGCCCAATAAGAAACAGAACCAGCTTGACCGCCATCATCTTTGAAGCGAGCTCTATAGATGAAACCTACCGGTTTGTCGGGCCACTCCTCGCCGAGCTTCTCCATCATCCGCCTGCGCCCGTCCATCATGGGTTTGAGGATGGGAATGGCCCGGCGGATATTCTTCGCACTGTTACCGACGATGCGTCCGATGAGGCTGGGAGCCCAGACTTCAGCGACAATCCGGCAAACCATCGCTGACAGCGCGGTACTTACGGCTTCATGAACGACGGGAACATGTTGATGGTCGCTCTGTCTCTGTTGATATCTAAGGTGAAGCCGATAGCTAGGTCGAGGTATCCCCTGCTACGGCCTAGGGGCACAAACAGCTCCCTGGTCAATAAAGAGTCGTGGTTCATGGGTTGATGTTACCAACATGCTGGGAGTCCGACGAAGACTCGGTTGCTAGCTCGTGCGACAATCTGGAGGGCTGCTTTCATAACGTTCACGCTGAGCCATTCTGTGCTCAAGCTGAGATATAATGCCAAGATCTCGATGCACACTTGACGGTGCTCACCATCTTCCTTTGCAGGTATATACTCGTGCACGGCAACGGACAGCTCGTCCACGACTTCGGGAAGGATAGCCGGTAGGTTGCGAGTCAGCTTTTCTCGGACGATGTTCACGTGGTACGGGTCGCGGTGTGCCTCATGGCCGACGGTATACTTTGTCTGGACGAACTGCAGCACCGTGTTAGAGCGACTCGGACGGAAGGACTTGGGAGAACCGGCAACGAACCTCCCCTGCGGCCTGGTGGAAAGACAGTTCTTGTTCGGGGCGCTTTCCGATATCTTCTACCAGCTTGGGCCCGCTAATGACGACGAGCCATTGATCGAGCATGGCGACTTTGAACACAGAGCCGTGATACTGCGCCCGCGCTGGTCAGCACGTACAGACCACCATACGCTCGCATGGGGACACGCCTTGTCGTATCCCTCCTGCAGTATATCTCTCCCGTGACGAATCCACCGCGCCGCCGCGAGAGAGGAAAATAGCGGAAGGGAAGGCCCGCCGACGGTCGGAATAGGTCGAAGCTGAGCATGAGTTTCTCGTGAGTATTTTGCATTGACTCGACTATGCCGGGATAGTGAGGCTTACCGGGTCAAGGAACCATCTCGCGAATAACATCGCCGCGACGAGAGCCAAGCAGTTGTACCAAGCTAGGTCAAGGCTCGCCATGATCGCTGAGACGATTGTGCCTCGGGGATCAAGGACGCTTGGGCAACGGCCTCAAGGGGGTCCTATGGGTATATAAAGCGATGGACCGTTCGGTCAAATCTCGAAGCTCCTACGGCCTTTCGTTGATAGCAAGGTACCGGATGAATGGAAGCCATCCCCGACGGCGACAGAAAAAGGGCACGCGTGGTGCGAGCCCGTCCCGTTACTGTGCGAGCTCTCTGTCTGTGTATTGGGAGATAGTGCGCGACGTAGCGCGCATACGGTGATGCCGGTGGAGTTGTGCCAGACAAGGAGAGGGAGCGGTCAGAACTAGGCTCGCACTGAGCAAGCCTTATGCATAAGCCCCGGTGTCTAGTTCATAGGGAGAAAGAGTGTCGTTCTCTTGGAATGAACGTTAGAATGAACGTTGAGCACTATGCAACGCATGCTGAAATACCCCTGGGCTGGGATGTGCGATTGGACTCTGGAGGGCTCTCGGAAGGTTCACACCAGTCGATAGAGTTGGATAGCCTGGTACTTCGCAGATCACCAAGAGGGTTGAGATGAACGTCGGGATGAGTATATCAACTGCCAGTGGCAGTCAGTGCGTGATATGATGGCACAAGAGTTTTGGGTATGCCGCTTTGTATGAACTTTTATGTCAATATCATTAGCACGTCCCGTTTAGCTCAGTTGGTAGAGCGCGTCACTAGTACTTGCTTACGAGCAAGTCATGACGAGGTCAGTCGTTCGAGTCGGCTAATGGGAATTACTGGTGGTCGGGCCCGTTTTTGTTCTTTGACTTCGGGCCAGTCGCGGCAGTTGTTAACAACCCACTTTAAGTCTTCAGTAGAGGGGGAGTATTGACGCGAGCCCTGCAAGAGGCTGTTGTGGCGACGGAGCGCCCATATCGGAGCGCCCGTGAGCTCCGAAGTTGAGTTCCGAAGTTGAAGTTGTCTTCTTCAAGTTGAAGCTCCGAAAGCAAACCTATTATCTAAAAGCGGGATTATCAGTTGAGATTAACATCCGCCGTTAGAGGGCACAGTCAAAAAACAAACCTGTCTATTGAGATCCCCTATATTTTTGTCCGCGGGATCCCCTCATACTCTGTGCTGTAGACGTTCACTTCAATCGTACTGGGACATGTCTCGTTCATCCAACTCATCCTCAGAATCAGACTCGCTGGAGGCAACGGTTCCGGTTCGCATCGGGGCGGGCAGCTTCGCGACTATCTACGCCCTCCCAGGCCGTGCCGTCGTCTTCAAGGTCGCCCACCTGCAGGACCACCTAGCTCAGATCAAGCACGAATACGAGACACTGCACAATATTTACACCCTATGCAATTCGGATTCGATCTTCGCGATTCCTCGCGCGCTCGCGTTCTTTGATCCTTCCACTCAGGAGCTCCTATTTCACCCACCCTCTCCTCACCAAGGGCGGCTTCGTCAGGCCCGCAGCCCTTTCAACACCACGTTCTTCGCCGACCTCCCTCCTCGTGCGTGTTATGTGATGGACCGTGTGGCACCCTTGCCACGCTCCATCGCACAGCTTATTCGTTCGTCGATGTATCCACCCAAGGCTTCCGAGCTGCGAACGCCCCTCCTGGGCCGCCTCTACTTTGGAAAGGAGCTGCGTCCATCGGCATTTGTCAACACCAATAACTTTCCCATTGACGTTGCCCGCTACCGCCTGCTGCAAGATCAATTTACCGACGAGCTCTCACCAATCGAAGAGGTCGCAGAAGGGATGGGCGAAATGCTGTCCATGATCCATTGGAATGCCGGTTACGATGCCCGTGACGTGGAGTTCGTCCTAGCCGGTGACATATATTCAGGAGCCGCGCGTTTGTATATCATCGACTTTAATCAGGTAAGTAGAACACGACATCTGTGCCAGTCCACATTGATTGCTGAATCCTGATATATCGTGTTGAGACGCAATCCTTCAACAAAAGCCATGATGACGTCACATCACTTGTGGAAGCTTTCTTCTCCAACGACCCCTACTATCCGCGCCCCATTCCTGGGGATCAGTTGTACGAGAGGTTCAAGCAAGCTTATGTACGCTCGTGCAATCTGGACCACCTTTCTAGCGCGAACCTGTTCCTGCGTGCAATCGAGGATCACCAGGCTACTACAGCTATGGCATCGTAGTGCATTGTGGTATGTGATGTTTCACTAGCATCTATTCTAATTCGAGTTTGAATTTGGTCTAGCTCTGGCCCACGCAACCGTTACGTGCGACCCGTGTACCCGTGATCTCCCTTCCTCTCTTCCATGTTTCCCCGTTCCTTTACCACCCCTGTCGCCACCTGTCCGTTTACTCGTTGTGCACGGTCCTTGCATTCCCTCGTTTGGCACAATGTCATATACACGAGTTCTCGTCCACGGCATCTGTGCATCGATTCATTGCGCGCTTATGGCGCCGTTATTAGTGTAACGGGCCGGCGCTGGAGCGTGAGCGAGAGACGGTAGGACGAGGATGTATTCGAGAGGTACGAGGGTGAGAACGAAGGCGAGCCCGAGCACCGACGCCGGTACCGCGCGAGGGACGGTGCGAGATGGCGTTTTCGTCCCCGAGAACGAGTGCGTATCGTAAGGGCTAAGTACGCAAATCCGTATATGGTAAGTCACGTGTAACGAGGCCGTTACAGAACGGGCCTGGGCCTGGACCCAGGCACCTCGGGGGGCAAGAAACTAAGAAGCTGTGAAACTACGAAACTGAGCAACTAAGTAACGACAACAAGCCCTGGCTCGCACCGGGCGGGGTAACGTCCGAGTCCAATATGCGAAGTTAGCTTTATATAAAGGCCGACGCGACGAGGATCCTGAAGAGGAAGAACTTGAGGGAAAGGGTGGGTGGATGGGTGGGAGGAAAGGGAAGGGATGTATAATCCGAGGTCCATCGTCCGGGCGAGGTGGGAGAAAGATTTGGAGAAACAGAAAGGGAAATAGAGAAAGGGATAGACAGCGGGCTAGCGGAGGCCCTAGATGCAGACGCGCATGCGACGCACTCACTCCCGGGGTTGACAGTAGGGAGTCGGGCGTACGTCGTACGAACGTTGCGCGGGCCATCCGATTGAGCCCAGTCCAGTCCAGTCCAGCCAAGTCCACAAATACAGGTAGGAAGGAAAGGAAAGGCAAGCATGTACGAAAGAAATCAAACTAAAAAAAAGAGTACCAGCGGGGAAGGAGAAAGAGAACGTCCAGTACCAAGGCACAACCCACAAACAAGCAATGAAACAAACAAACAAGGACCGCAAACGCAGACAAAAAGGCAGGCAGGGACAAGCGTACAGTATTGTACCATATGTATGTATGGAGGGGGAGGGGGGGGGGAGTCTACAATCCGAGCGCGGCGGCTACTTCAGTCCTGATAGGATAGGGAAAAGGTCCGGGGCTCCGAGGCACTGAGACGCTAAGGGTCCGAGCAGAGCAGCGCGAGGGCGAGCGTTCGCGCGTGAGGATGACAGCTGGACGCGCTGCGCAAGGGTAAGAGATGCGCTCAGGCCTGCGCCTACACGCTCGGCGCTCGGTGCTCAGGCCTCAGGCCTCGGAGGAAAGAGAAGGGAGGGAAGGGGAGGAGTCCGTCATCGTAGCGGCCGCGCTCGATCATTCTGCGTTCTTCTGCGTTCTTCTGCATTCTGAGATTATCATGTTTCGTCGTCATCGAGTGCGTGCGTCATCGTCGTCGCCACAGACGGCCAGGGGGATGGGAGGGCAGGGAGAGAGGAGGGCGGGGGGAGAGGCAAAGGTCGTCTGTGCGTTTTGGGTCGTTTCTTCTTTCGTCTTCGATTAGGGAGTAGTAGGCGTTGATGATGGTGTGAGATGTTATGTTGGTGTCCAGGGCAGGGAATCGGGGGTCCAGGAGGGGTCGCGCGTGGGGTGAAGTGCCCGATACCCGGTACCCGGTGCTCGTTCGACGAGAGCTTACGAGCTTGAGGCTGATCGTTCAGTCGCTCTCGAGGTACAGCGTCTGAAGGGGGAGGTACCAGTCAGCGGACTCAACCTAAACATAAACCCCGCGCCCGCGCGCGAGCCTGACCACGGGCACGCAGCGGCCCAGGCGACCCGCGCGCAACCTCAATCCAGGACGAACGATAACGGTACTCACCACTTCCGAAACACCATCCCCCGGGTGCGCAGCGTTGTACGCGGCGACGTCGCCCGTCACGAAGAGCGCGCCGTCGCGCGCGCGGTACGCGACGCGCGTGTGCGGGTGCGAGCCGTCCGGGTTTACCCAGTGCGCTGTTTGTCCGAGGGTACACGCAGCCCGTTCGTCAGCCATGGCCGATACGCACGGGGCCTAAGAGAACGAGGGAAGGGGGAGAGGGAGGAGACGCACCTGTGAGCGCCTTCGTCGCCGCGTCGAACGTCCAGATCGCGGACTCGCCCCCGGTCAGGGCTGGCCGGGCGTGCGGGGCGGCTGTGGGGGAGGAAGCGGTTTGGGTTAGTATGCGCTTGTGGGCGTATCGCGTGTGCAGAGGGAGCATGGGGGAGCGAAAAGGGGGAAAGGGGTGGAGAGGGTAGAGCGGGGGAGAATGTAGGTAGGCCGGGGATGGGGGCGCGAGCGCGAGCGCAGACCGCGGACGCCTCTGACGTCGTGTTTCGCGTCTGGCTGCGTTTCGCGTTTCGCGCTACGTCGGGCACGGAGCCCCTCGCCTGCGCGAGGCGGCTCAAGTGGGCCGGCTCCTCTGGCCGGCTCGCTCGCTGTGGCAGAACGCTGCTGCGCTCGCCCCAGCCTCGAGCTGCAGCGCGGACGCCACATCCCGCAGCAGACGTCACTCGTACCACCACCATCGGCGGCGGCGTGAAGTGACCATGGGCTATCGGCGTATGTCGCAAGGCGCGTACCATAGACGCGAGAGATAGGGAAGAGTTCACTTAACGCGCGCGCGCGCGCGTGTGTGTGTGTGTGATGCAGGGGGGGGGAGAAGGGAGAAATGGGTACGGCACTCACTTTGCTTGACGGTCCCGAGCGGCACCGCACTATCGACGAGAAGCAAAAACGTCAGAGATTGCGCGCGAAGAGGAGGGTGCTCGGGTGCTCGATTACTCGAGCCTCGAGATCTGGGAGGAAATAGGGAGGGTGTGCGTACCTCGCGGAGCCGGAACTCAGCGTGGACGCGCCTGCCGCACCGATCAAGGTGGAAGGTTCGGATCCTTGGGACGTCTCGGAATCAGAGTCGGAGTCGGTCTGCGAAGCGAAATTTCCCCCACATGAGCTCGAAGAAACGGCGGAAACTAGAATGCCGATCGTGGTAGTAGTACGCACCGTGGCCGTTCCCTGGAGAGTGGTGATGCTGAAGAGCGCCTTCGAGCCGGTCGTCTTGAACACGACGCGCGCCCCATCTTGAAGCTCCTCTTCGCTACTGGCATCACCAGCAACGCTTCTGTATCATGGCGTCAACACCCGCCGAGAAGAGCAGTGCAGCATTGCAGCAACAAATGATGATCAGGCACGGGCGCTCGTGGTGAGCTATGCTGCGATCGGGCAGACGAGGAGATAGAGTAAGAGATGGGCGCACTCACACACCGGACGACGAGGCCCGCACGTAGCCCATCGGGACGTCGGACCCTGCATAACGTGCGACTATGCGTCCCTCATACGCCGTCTCGACCGCACTGCAACACACAACACGCGGTACCGGTATAGTGAGCAGGGACTAAACGCAGGCAAATCGCGCGCGCACGTACGGTCTGGCGAACGCGAACGGACTCGGGCTCGGGCTGGGCGCGGAGCGCTTGACGGGTGCGTATGGGTCCGGGA